CCTCCAACCAACTTTCCTATGGATTAAAACTAAGTCCCAAAGTGCTCTAAAGTTATTTAAGTTCCTTACTTGTTAATCAAATTCAATTAGAATAAGAACAAGCACAAATAGTTTCAACACGAACGGAAAATACTTACAAGAACCCATACTGTTTGAAACAAATAATTACAACCAAATTAATTTAGCTTTATTTCTTCCTGGAACGGAATTAGAGATGCAAAGAACACAGGCCAAAGAGATAAAGTTAGTAATAAAACTTGCCTGTGAGATTCGGTTCAAAAATCTCAACGTCTTTCTTCTAAGTTTTCCGGCGAACTACCTTCTCCTAACTCCCCTGATACTTCTTCCTCCAATACGTGTGGTTAGGGTTCTAAACCCTTGGCAGTCTTATACAGATATATTTATAGGCCAACTAAACCTAGGTGCAATAAAACCCTAATCCTATTACTAGACAGAAAAAAATAAGTCGGCTAAATACGTGGCTTCCCTAAACTGATAAAACCCTAATTTAATAAATAAAACATTTAACTTAATTCAAATAAATACTAACTAACATAAACAACCAATTTAAAATAAAACAATTTAAAATAAAACAAATAATCAATTTAAACAATTAAAGCAAAACAAAAATTCAACTAAATAACAATTTAAATAAACAAACAAACACAACAACTACAAATAACCAACTAAATAAAATAAAAACACAATTAAACATTTAAATAAATTCCAAAACTATCCTGTTTAAAATTAAGGGTATTACACACAATACCCAATCCATGAAACTGACCTTTAACCCCGATGCAAATGCAAATGATGATGATATGAAGGAATGAGATGCACCAGAGCCAAACAAAACACAGGTCCAAGAACCAAACACTAGAAAGATACCTCGGAGAACTGACAGTCCAGGAGATGCATCAGTTGGTACAAGTGCAAAGACACGTCCCTACGGTGCCTGTGCCTGAGAACTACCAATCTAAACACCAGATTGTTGCGCCGACATAGTAGGAGTATCCCTCCTAGTTGGTCATGAACCCTGAGAAGACATGGCAAGCTGTGGTGGTAGCGGTGTAACCTGACTGAACTGTAGCCGACTGTGACGACCTATGCCGTGACCCTCTGCCACTAGTGGTGCCTGCTCTCTGACTTGGACAGTCTCGAATCAAGTGGCCCTGCTGGCCACACCCATAACAAGCCCTCGGAGCTGAAGAAACTGAAAACGATCTCATGGGACAATTGGACTTGTAATGTCCAGGCTGCTGACACTAAAAGCAAACAACTCCACTCTTATCAAATCTAGCTAGTAAAGGAGTAGTAAGAGCTGATCGTGCAGATTGTTGCCCCTGAAACTGAGACGAACCACCCCTGTTCCTTTTCCATGAAAGTCCCTTTGAAGATGGTCATGCATTCCTCTTTTGTTTGCACTGTTCCCTTCTTGCATCTTTATCTTTGGCCTCCACCTCTAGCATTAATGCCCTTTCCACTGCCCCTGAATAAACTTTGATATACTGTGCCATTATCAACGGCCTCATCTTGTAGTCAAGCCCGGAGACAAACTTCCGAACCTTATCAACTTCATTACTCACTGATAAGCGCTAAAAAGTGCGCATTTAAACCCCTTAAGCTTAGGTATCTTAGGACCTTTATCTATCTTACTTTCCCGTTTTAGACTAATTTTGTGTTATTGTCCTTTTTAGGTGTTTAACCCCAAAATAAGCTAATTCAGCCAAATAAGAGCTTAAAAGAAGCTAACTCAAGCTGGATGGAAGAAAGGAGCAAAGTGGAAGCAGAATAAAGCAAAGTGTGGAAATCAGCATGTTCGATCGATCTCAAGAATACTCCGATTGATCGAAAATTCATCGATTTAGACTCTCCAAGATGGATCCAAGCTCTTTTGTCCTTATCCAAAGATCCCACAAAGTTCGATCGATCTCAAGAATACTCCAATCGATCGAAAAGATTTCATCTTATCCTGTTGTACCACCCTACCTACCACTTTTGTCTCTTTCCCCAAAATAACTCAGATCTGTCCTTATCCAAAAAGGCGCCGCCATGGGAGGATCGATCCAGCCAAAGTTTGATAGATCTCAGCCAAGTTCGATCGATCTCAGCATAGGTTCAATCGATCGAACTCTCTCAAGTGCGAATTAAATTAATTTCCAGCTCATTAAAAGTTGTCTCATTGTGCAATCATTGGACGAGCCCTTGTGTACGAGCCTAGAGCATTGGGTGTGATAATTATATAAGGATTATGGGCCACTTTTACATATATGCTTTTAGGAGTTGATAGATACAATTTTTTATTATTCTTAGAAAGGAAGAAAAGAGAAGATGAGGCTAGAGACACATTCTTGGGAGATCTTCCATCTACTTCAAGAAGAAGAGCATTTCTACCATGGAGATAGCCCTTGAGGGTTGGAGGACACCATTCATGAGTGGCTAGACATCCTCTTAGGGCTAGAGTTAGCCCTAAGCATGCTTTCTTTACCTTGATTTATGTATTTTTTAGGGAATTTGTGTTGTAATACACGTTTTGACATATTTATATACATAGATCTCGTTTATTCAATAATTTGTGTAGTGTAATTCTTCTAATTGATCATTTCATTCTATCCATATGTCTATGTATGCTAGAATAGATGTTCATGTGTTTATCTCTATCTCTTGTATTGTTGGTGCTATAGATCTAGAGATTGTCAAGACATAGTGCTTAATAGAATGCTCTTGTGGTTTATTTGATGGTTCATACTCATTTCTTAATGGATTGTGCCTCTCCCTTAGTTAATTAGTTTAATTTTCATGTCATTAGCTTAGATGTAATGTAGTTACTTTAGTTATTAAATGGGAGGACAATCCACACTTGTTGTTTGATGTTCCATACTTATGAATGTAAATAGTATATTTCTCTAATTATATGGTATGTTTGGGATTGTGAGCTTAAAGGAAGGATTAATGGCTTAATTTGATATATTGTGTTATTCATTGTGTTGTTTAGACAATATACACTTAATTGGTCATCCATACTTGTTGAAATAACCACACACACTTACTATTGTTGCAACATATGTTTTCCCTCTCATTAATTATGAATTGAATGTATAGAAAAGTAATGCTTAGTGGTAATCTCTAAGTCCCAAGACCTCTCTCTCTTGTTTTCTCTATCCATTAATTACTTGTTTTATATTGAGCTTGCTTAATCTTAATTGTAGTTTAATCAACCAAACAATCTACTTTTGATCACTCGACCTACTAACCCTAAGTATTATTTCCATTACTAGTAGCCCTCTAATCCCTTGGGACGATCCCTACTCACTTTTGCTATGTTAGTAGTAGTGGTGGTAGTGGTTTTTATAAATTTAAACTTGACTCAAAAGGATTTTTGGCGTATAGGAACGGCCTCGTCAAATTTTGGCGCCGTTGCCGGGGATTGAATTGGAAACGCCGTATTTTGGAAACATTTAGGAATTAGTACTCTTTTGATCATGTCTTTACTTTATTTTTATTTTTGGTTACTTATTGTGTTTGTTCTTATTTGGCTAGGTGAATTGAGTGAAGGAAGTTAAGCAAAGGAGAATTCAAAGCAAAGAGTTAAGCTAAGCACAAAAAGGACTAAAAATCTATAAATAAATAAATGCAAAGCATAGCAAAGCTTGGACGTGAATTGAAGTTGCTTAAGGATCCTTTGTGACATCTTTCTAACTCAAGCTCTAGTTAAATCGTCAGCCCGCGTGGAGGCTTATTTTTCATTTCTTAGTTAAATTGTGAGCCCGCGTGGAAGCTATTTACTTTTCTTTGCATATTGTTCAAGCATGGGAGCATGGGATCATTGTATGTGGAGATTTATTGATTGATTTGTTGTGGGGGCGAAGTGTTTGTTACTTGCTTATTTCTTTGCTAGTGCATGCATGGTCGTAGGTCATTAAATCCTACTCTTATCCCTCTTAATTTTCATCTTGAATCGGTTATTCGTAATCCTAGGGGAAGAGGTAGTTCTCATCACTCCATTTCACCAATGGAGAATTTGGATGACAACCATGTGGAGGACCTTAGTCACATAGACCAACAAGGCATCCTTAACCCTAATGTGTATCATGAAAATGTTCAAGTACCATTAGGCTTGCCTAGACCATTCATACCACCACAACAACAAGGCCAAATTCCATTGGGAATGCCTCAACCAATCTTTGCTCCACAACCTCCCATGGTTCAAGCTAATCAAGGTGTTCATGTAGCACCACCAATTGTGAATCCTCCCATTACATTAAGAGACCATTATGTGCCTAATGAATATAATGCACCCACTTGCATTCAATTGCCTCCATTTAGAGCACATCACTATGAAATCAAACCACAAACCATTCAAATGCTTCCTAACTATCATGGACTTCCTAGTGAAGAACCTTATAAGCATTTGGATGAGTTTCTTAAATTATGTTTGTAACGACCCGAACCCGGGGGTCCGAACCGTTAGCTGGGTCCTTACTCGAACCCGAAGTCATCTATATCAAACCCATTATATCACTCGTCAAAACATGCTCATTAGGATCAAAATTAAGCTTTCCCAAGGTTCTAAGTAATTCTCCCGAGTCAAGAGTGGATTACAAAGGAAGAAGGGATAAAGAAGACCAAACAGGTCACTTCGGTCGACCGAAGTGAAGCTTCGGTTGGCCGAAACAGACCTCCAAGAACCGGTCGACCGATGCTCTACTTCAGTCGACCGAAGCTAAGATGCTGAGAGCAAGAGGATGGTTCGGTCGACCGAACCATATTTTGGTCTACCGAAACAGGAGATCCCGAGAGCATGCAGGAGAATCGGTCGACCAATGCACCATTTCGGTCGACCGAAATAGCTTTGCTGAGCCTGGAATCTGATGCTGAGAAGCTACACTCTTAAGACTGAAGAGAAACTGAAATGGGGCCTTTGTAATGGTTCATACTTGAACTAAACCATCAAAATGAGGCATTCTACTATCATGAATATGAGTACTATTCCACAATCATCTTACAAGATTATTTATTACAATTACATGACGTTAAATATAATGCTTACATTAGTTCCATTTACATCAAATAAAAGCTAAATCTCATACTTGAGTTACAAGGTCATGAATAATAACATTTGTTACATTTCCAAAACAATAGACATATAAAAGAATGGCCTAAGTACAAAATGGCAAATGGTCCTCTAACAACTTTCAAGCTTGCGGTGGATTATCATCCGCCAATTCCTTCCCATGACCTGAAAAATGATAAGTATAGTGGGGTGAGCAAAAGCTCAGTAGATGGCACTTAAGACATGCTTCTTGTGTCCCCATGAATCCAACCAAAAAATAGAACAATAGGAAATGGGGATCATACAATGTCGGGACAATATCGCATAACAATCAATCTCAAGTATATACAATATGATGCAATGGGAGTGCAATACATGTCGATGTCGCTCCCCATTTTTCACATTCAAAATCATCGCTTTCAAACTGTTAATATAACCCGCCCTTTGGTGATCCCGCAGCGATACAAGAGAAGGATTGGCTAATGTCCCTGACCCTTGGTACCCCTGTGGCGTCATTATGGGCCCAGCTAACTCAACCACGCTAGGGCGACTCCCTAGTTCCCTCTAGGTTATATTAACACTCCGGCCCTTTGGTACCCCCGCGGTGACCGGGTTTTCATATAACCGATTCAACAAAACACTTTCCTAAAATTCCCCATTTTCATTTCCAAAATCAATTATTCCCATTTCTTGCCCAATGTAAATGCATAAATGCATTAATGTCTTGTCAATGTTCATCATTTCACAATTAATTTAAGTTTGTCTACTAAGTATAGTTCACAAGAATTTCAAAGGAATTTATCACATGCTCGCATACATCAATAATCTAGCATTTTGAGCATACATAATTCAACACATAAGCATGTTCATCACATAGATCATTTAATTCACATAATCCCACAATTAATAAAATACATAACAACTAAACAATTGTCTATGAACTACCCAAATTAAGCATGTTAATTAGCCATTTATGAAGAGTTAACTCACTAAAGCACAAAAACATCATGGATTAAGAACCCCTATCTTGATTTGAGCAAAACCCTTAAAATGGGTCAAGAATTTTGAAATCCCTAAGGAGGCTCAAAGCTGGAATTTCTGATACACACACATAGAGCTCGTCATGTTCTCCGTTTTGCCTCAAACGGCACTTAAAATCATCAAGTATTGAGTGAGAAACCTTAGATCAAAGCTTGCTTCCAAAAGAAAGAAAATAAAAAGAAAATAGAGAGAGAAAGAGAAGCTACGGGGAGAGAGAAAATGAGAAAGGAAATGTGGTCTCTAGACCACTTTTGAGATTGTGGTGGGTCCCACCACTTTTGAATTTCTTTTCCTTTTTTTCTTTTGTCTTGCATTATACACCTCACATATATTTAAATACATACACCACCAAATAAACACCACACAACCATATAAATTAAAGTGCACAAAATGCAATTGGACCCAATCACAAAATGTGAAAAGACAGAAATACCCTTGCACCAACGAATTTCCAGAAAAATGAAAAATTCTGAAAATTAGAAACATCACAGTGTTCTACCGTGAAATACACAGACATGCTGGAAGAAGTTTTAAGACTTAAACTTTTTCCTTTCACCCTTAAAGACAAGGCAAAATATTAGTTCAACAATCTTAGGCCTTTTTCGATAACCTCTTGGGCGGAAATACAACAAAAGTTCTTGAAAAAATACTATCCGATTTCTAAGACCAATGCCATGAGAACTTCAATTAGAGTATTTTCTCAAGGGGATGGGGAAATGTTTCATGAGGCATGGGAAAGGTTTAATGATTTACTTAGGAAGTACCCTCATCATAACATACCTAAGTGGCAACTAGTTCAATATTTCTTTGAAATTTTGCCGGATAATCACAAGGGTATGGTTGATGCATCTATTAGTGGTTCTTATCTTGATAAGCATGAAAATGATGTGTGGCAATTGTATGAAAGTATGAGTGAAAATTCCATGCATAGGTCCTTATCTTCTAAAAATTATAGAAACCTAGGTGGAAGGAAGAATGTCGACTTATATCAAGTTGACAACTCCAATGACATAGCCGCCGAAATGAAATCTTTATCTCAAAGGTTTGATCAATTTTTTATCAACCAAAATTCAGCGAATCAAGTATCTTCCTCCCCTACTCATATTCATCATCGTGCATCTAATGAATCTTGCATGACTTGTTCAAGTATCTTGCATTCTACTTCCAATTGTCCCCATAGACATGTGCAAAGTGAGCACCATGAGCAAGTCAATGCTACATTTGTTAATCAAGGGAATAATCCCTATGGCACTCATTACAATTCAAGTTGGAGGAACCTTCCGAACTTTTCTTGGAAAAGCCAAGGGGAAGGCTCAAACCCTCCCCAAGGTGGTTTTAAAGGAAAGTATGTTCCGCCGCCAATGCAAGGCCAAGGTTCCCAAGGCTTTAAATCATCATCATTTCAACCACATGGAATTCAATTTTCTAATTCTCATTTCCCAAATCAATCTTATTCTCAATGAAACTCTAGAAGTCCCACTTTTGAGGAGAAAGTTTTGACCACTTTAGGCACTCTAGAGGCGAACACTCAATTGTTTCATTCTCACTCTCAATCCATTGCTAAGCTAGAAACCCAAGTAGGGCAAATAACTAGTACCTTAAATGCTAGAGAGAAGAGGAAAATGCCTTTAAATGCTCCACCAAAGCAACAATGTGTTGTGGAGACTCATTCCTCATCGGAAGGTCCCACAATTGAGCATGTCAATGCGGTGACAACCTTGAGAAGTGGGAAAATTGTGGACAATAAGGTAGGTATGTCCAATGAAGAGAGTGAACCGGTGCAACCAAAAGTTGACACCTGTTCCGTTTCTCATCATATTCCTCCTTCATTACATATGCATGATCATTCAAATGAGAAACTGTTAGAAAGTGATTTGAAAAGTGAGTCCAAAATTGATTTAAAGGATGAATTGAACAAAGCTTTGAAAAAGGATTTTAAAAATTCTTGTGTTGATGATGTTTCAAAGAAAAGTTTTGAAAAAGTTTTTGAGCCAAGAGCTCCATTTTCGGATGCCTTAAAAGGATCCATTTATCTTGATAAACAAAAGACCAAGACTAATGAAATCATTGAAATGTTTAGGCAAGTGAAGATTAGTCTTCCACTTTTGGATGCAATTAAGCAAATTCCGGCTTATGCCGAGTTCTTGAAAGATCTTTGCACCCAAAAAAGAAAGAACAAGAGCCAAGCACCTACGAAAGTGGTCTTGACTGAGCAAGTGAGCTCAATCTTGCAACATAACACCCTCCCAAAGTTTAAGGACCCCGGTTCACCTACTACTTCTTGCATCATTGGTGACCATGTCATTAATCGGGTTCTTCTAGACTTAGGAGCAAGTGTTAACCTTCTTCCATACTTGATATATGTCAAATTAGGCTTAGGAGACTTGAAACCGATATCGGTAGTTTTACAACTTGCCGATCGATCCATCAAAAAGCCTCGGGGTATCATTGAGGTTGTCTTGATTAAAATTGATAAATTCTTCTTCCCGGTTGATTTCGTCGTCATTGACACGGAACCGATTCCAAATCCCAAAAGCCAAATTCCCGTTATCCTTGGCCGTCCTTTCTTGGCAACCGCAAATGCCAACATCAATTGTAGAACGGGGGTAATGAAAATCTCATTTGGGCATATGAAAGTGAAGTTGAATATCTTTAATCCAACCCCAAATTCATTCGACAAGCATGAAGAAGTAAATATTGTAGAAAAATGTCTAGACAATGAATGTGAAAGAATGGAGTCTTTGCTTGAAACCAAAACTTCAAAAAGTTCATCTTCAACCTTGAGTCTAAAGAATGATGTTTCAAAAACTTGTTTTGAGAGGGCATGGAAGCCCAAAGATCACATTGACAAAGGACCAATAAATTCCTTTAAACCTAATCCAACAAGTTCTTTAGGGAACCGTTTGTTGGGTAGAATTCAAAGTACCTATCACCCCATTAAAGAGGGGATGCATTATAAGATGTTTGATCCAGGCTAAAAGAGCCCAACGTCTTACTAGAAACGTTAAAGACTAGTAAATGCTTCGTAGGGTTTACAACCCTATTCCTCCCTCATTTCTATTTTATCTTTCATTTCTTGCGTCGTTTAAATATGTTTTGGAATTCATACACATGGCTAGGATTTTGATTGAGTATGCATGCACTTTCATTTTGAAAATAAGCATTTTGTCCCTGTTCGATCAATCTCAAATGAGGTTCGATCGATCGAACACCCATTCCTGCATCCAATCATTTCTCTGTTCCATCGATCTGAAATTTCCTGCATAAATCAGCCCTCTGTGTATCGTTCGAAAATCTCTTCGAATTGATCTGAAAGTTCCTAGATCGATCCAACTTTTTCTTGGATCGATCTTCACTCCACACTTAGAAAAAATTTTGAGATCCATGAAAAAGGCCTCTCTGTGCATCATTCGAACTTCTCTGTAGGTTTTTACCTGTTCAATCGATCGAACCATTTTCTCGATCGATCTCAGCTTGATCAATCTGTGCCCCTTTGTTGACTTTGACTTTGACTTTGACCCCAATTTTATTTTTATTTTTATTTTTATTTTTATTTTAGTGTTTATTTTATTTTATCTTTAAAAACTCCAATTTTATTTTCATTTTAAAATTTTCAAAAAAAATCCCAAAAATAATTTTCTTTTGTTTTATTTCCAAAAATTCAAAAAAAAAAATACTTTTAATTTTATTTTTAATTTTTAATTTCCAAAAATTCAAAACATTTCATTCAAAAAAAATTTGTCGTCTAGTGAGGGGAGATCAATCTCAACATTTTCAGATCGATTTATATTCGATCGATCGAAAATTTTCCCTAATCAATCGAACTTGTCGGAACCAGTTTTTAAAAATAAAACCCTAGGGTCATTAGATTGATTTCAACATCGATCTAAACCCTCATCTCCCTCGCCGCTACAAACCCTACCTCTCCCATCTCCGGCGAGACCTCCGACGGCATTCCCGAACCTCGAATCTCTCTCCCTCGTCTCAAATCTCGTCTATCTCTCTCCCGATCCACTTCTCTCCTCGGATTAGGTAAGTTTGTGTTTCCATTTCCATTTTCGAGCTTCAACTTACATACTTGTGATGATTCCATACTAGATCTGAGCTTCCCATGTTTGATTCTTGCCATTTTTGACTTAATGAAG